CTATCTTCAAAAGCATAAACTACCAGTAATCGTTTTTTTTAATCACAAAAGACCTATGGAAACAAATAACGAAGCCAATTTAACTAAATTAAAATCGCAGTTGCAAGACCACGGCTTAACCCCTATGGAATGAGGTGGTGATATTCTAATTGTTTCGGGTAGTGCTCGGGAAAAAAAAGATGTTGAACAGGTGTGCGAAAATATTTTGCTGATGAGTGAGATTTACCAATGAAAAGCAAATTTACAATCCCCGCCTCATGGTTTCATTATCGACAGCCAAGTAAACGCCAAATTAGGAAAAACCACGACCCTTTTGGTCCAAGGTGGAACCCTGCGAGCGAAAGATTTATTTCTTACTAACGGAAAAATAGGAAAAATCAAAAGGATGCTTGATTTTCAAGGAAAAATTATTAATCAAGTTTTTTCGGGTGATGCCGCCCAAATAATTGGTTTAGATTTTCTTAGTGAAGCGGGAGAAAAATTTTTAACCATTCCAGACGACAAGTTGAGCCCAAAAATCAGCAAACTACTAGTGGATTACCAAGGAGAAAAAAGAAACTCTAATCTTTCCAGCCAACCAACAACTTGGTTAAATTCCGAAAAAAAAAGAACACAAGATTATTAATTTAATAGTAATTGCCGATACTCAGGCGACTCTGGAAGCTCTTATTGACTTGGTTAAAAAGCAAATTGCCGATAATCCAGTTTTTCAAATTGTTTCCGGTTCAGCTGGCAACGTTCACGATCAATTATTAAATTTAGCCAAAATTACCCGTAGTTATTTACTTATTTTTAATTTAAGTTTAAATAAAGAAGTTCGCCAAAAATTCAATGAAAGCCAACTTAAATGATTTCAAAGCGATATCATTTACGAAATAGAAGAAAAGTTGGTTGAACTAGCCAGAAGAATCCGTGAAAAAAAACAAGTAGAAAAAATTTTAGGAACCGCAGAAGTAGTAAAAGTAATTTATTTTTCCAAAATTGGCTATATTGCCGGCTGTCAAGTAATTAGCGGAATGATTGAAAGAAATAATTTAATTTATATTTCTCGGAAAGGAGAAAAGATTTTTTCCGGAAAAATGAAAAGTTTAGAAGTGGAAAAAGAAAAAAAAGAGGCCGCCAGAAAAGGTCAAGAATGCGGGATAGTAATAGAGAATTTTGATGAATTTCAAGAAAAAGACCAAATTATTAGTTATCGTTGAGAGGAAGAAGATGTTAGTTAAAACCAATTTTTACCATTCCCGTTTACAAAGCACATTCGCTCGGGAAATCGCAATTATTTTGCAAAAATTAATCCAGCAAGAAGAATTACCTCTTTTTTCAGTAAGTTATTGTGAATTAAGCACCAAAGCGGAGAACTTAAAAATTTACTTAGTTTTTGCCGAAGAAAAAGACCAAGAACAGATATTAAAAATTATTAATCACCAAAATTACTTATCTTTTATTAAAAGACAATTAGCTAAGTCAAAGAAATTTTCTCGTGTGCCCCAAATAACTTTTCTGATAGACCAAAAGTCAAAAAAAATTAGTGATTTAGAAGAAATGATAAAAAAAATTAAATAAACTTATGGATGGTAGTAGTTCTTTCATTTTTATTATTGTAGCTTTGCTTTTACTGTTAGTGGCTGGTTTTTTCAACTTCATTGCTACCTTGTATTCAGAAATCGATATTTCTAAAATTGATTTATCCCGTGTGAGCCGAAGAAAAAAGAAAATCAAACGGCTCATTTATATTATCAAAAATAATTACTTTCTTTTCATAGGAACTTCGGTGCTGTCCGTAATTCTTAATGTTGCCATTTCCCGCCTTATTTTTAGCAGCTATGGATTAGCAGTAGATTACGATAAAAAACCATTCTGAATTGGTGTGATTTCCGAAATACTACTCATATTTTCTTTGGTTTTCGTGAGCGAAATTTTGGTGCGTTATCTAGCCGAACGAGAGTTTTCCAAGCGACGAATGCTTAATCCTTTTTTTCTTTCCTCTGCTTATTTAATTACTCGTGCTATGGCTTGACCTCTGCGTTGGGTAGTCAAAGAAAAAAAACTTTCTCCTTATCGCGAGCAAGACCTTATTCGCTTAATGGGTAATTTAGAAGCGGAAAACATTCTCGAGCCCCAAGAAGTCAGTTTGTTACGGGCAGCTTTCAATTTCGATGAGGAAAGCATTGATAAATATTACAAACCTCGTCGAAAAGTAATTTTTCTTTCTACGGAAATGAGCTTCAAAGAGATTCAGCAAATTTACTTTAAATACCATTATACTCGTTATCCGGTACTCTCCAAAGGGCGAAAATTAGTTGGCATTCTGAACTTTAAAACCCTCAGCATAGAAATGAAAGATAAAAATGATGATTGACGGAAATTTATTGATAAAAAAATTAACTGTCTAGTTTTGGATACTAAATTAAATGCGGCTTTTGACTCTTGTCAAAAATACTGTCAACACTTAGCAATCGTGGTTGATCAGCAACAGAGATTTGTTGGTATTATTACTTTGGAAGATAT